AAACATCTCTGCCTGCGCCGGCTGCGCCGTGGCCTTTGCGAGGTGGCTCCTGCTCGAGATTTCACACCAAATGAAGTGTTTGCTGAGGGCACCCGCAGCGCTTTTACCTCTCCTGTCCCCAGCCGTGGCTTCAGCCCAAGTGCAGCCACAGAGCTGCAGCCTGTGGGCTGTGCTGTGGAAGGTCACCCAGGCTGGAGGAGCCCATGGCCATCACCTGGAGTGCCCAGGGTGGGATGTCTCCCCCTTGCCCCCCCTGGGAAAGTGATGGGGGATGAAGGCAGAGGGATCACAGCTCCCTCTCTCCTGCTCGTCCTGGCCACGGCAGGGTTAAGCACACCCCACTCGTGGTGCAGTGCCACCCCATCTGGGCTCCCAGGATAGTCTGTTCTCTCCTCCACGCTGCTGGGAGAGCAGGGAGACGTCTGCCTTCCCTCCCACTCCCTGATTACTCACCGCAGCCGATCTGGACTCCAGATGGGCCAGATCCAGTTTTCCTCCCAGGAGGTTTGGGGGAAGGTGTGGGGGGGCCACGAGCCCTGTCCAGCCCTCCATGGGACAGCACACCCCAGGAACTCCCAGACCTGCTCCCTCTGCTCCATCCACAGCTGCCAGGAGCTGGGATGCTCCTCAGTCCCCAGGTCTCTGGAGGGCAGTGGCAGAGGGTGAAGGAGGAGCTGTCCTGCTTGGGGACAGAGGAGTACAAGGCTGTGCACCCCATCCTCACCCATACACCCGGGGTGCAGCCATGACTTGCCTTTCTGGATTTATTCCTATGGATAATTTATCCCAGCAGGGATCTCCCCTGGGTGCTCAGATCTCTCTGCTCTTATAAAAACCTCTCAGACTTTGCTTTTGATGTATCCCAGACAGGCTTCCAACCTCTCAGCATCTCAAGTCCCATTCCCTTCCATCTTTCTCGCTCATGCACCTGCTGCCATGACCATCCTCTGCTTCCCTGTGTCCATCCCATCAGCTTTCCCTCCCGCCCAGCACTGTGCCCATGGCAGGGAATGCTGAGCCAGACTTCCATGCAGCTGTGCCAGCGAAAAACAATGGATCTCCAAAACCCAGGATGCTGGAGGCTTGCTGGTGCAGGGTTGTGGCTGACACCCTGACAGGGAGCTCATGGGCTCTGGGAGCCAGGCAGGAAGGAGGTGAAGCTTCAGCCAAACAGAAGCACCAGGAGCTATGAGGGTGTTGCAGCCACACCAGCCCCAGGATGTGCAAGTCCCAGGCTCTGCCCTGGGAAGGGAGATGATTCCCTAATCCCACAGTAATTGCTAAGACACTGGAGTACAGGACATCAGTCCCAATCACCTTCCTCCCCAGCCTCTGGCCTCTCCCCTGGGAATGCTGCCATGTCATAGAATCATCATAGAATCACAGGATGTTTTGGGTTGGAAGGGACCTTAAAAACCACCTCTTTCCATCCCCGTGCCATGGGCAGGGACACCTTCCACCAGCCCAGGTTGCTCCAAGCCCCATCCAACCTGGCCTTGGACACTTCCAGGGATCCAGGGGCAGCCACAGCTTCTCTGGGAAACCTGAGCCAGGGCCTCACCACCCTCACAGGGAAGAATGTCTTCCTAAAATCCCATCTAAATCTCTCCTCTTTTACTTTAAAACCGTGTCCTATCACTGTCTGCCTGTGTAAAAAATCATTCTCCCTCTTTTCCGTAAGTCCCAATGGACACAATGATGTCCCTGGCCTGGTTGCCGCATGTCCACGTAGGGGACAAGGCTCCCCAGGGCAGTGGTCATGGCCCCAAGGCTGCCAGAGCTCAGGGAACATTTGGACAACACTGTCAGGGACAGGGTGGGGTTCTTGTGGTGTCCTGTGCAGGGCCAGGAGTTGGACTCGATGATTCCCTTCCAAACCATGAGATTCTATGACTCTGTGACAACATGGACAGTGCTGGGCTGCCCTGTGCACCTGAGGAGGTGAATTCCTGGGCAGGGAGCCCTGAGGGAGGTCCAGGAGGTGAGGAGCACCCCCAGCAGCCCCCGTGGCTGCCCAGCATGGTGCCGGCGTGTCCGGGGGCCGGCGGCGCCTCGGCTCCCTCGGCGGGGCCCAGATGGTCCGTGGGTGGCAATCTCGGCAGGTTGGTGGTGGCGACTTGATGAATGGGCTGTAGAATTTGGTGAGATAATTAAAGAACCTGACTCTCACAATGCACCTGATAACAAATGAGGTGTCTCTCTCCCTTCTCTGTTTTGTGTGCTGAATTGTATCCGTAAAGATTAATGGATTTACCATTTCTATCGCAACAATGGGCCCGTTCCCTGCGCTGGCCCCTCGCTCCTTGAGGAGCATCCCCCTTCCTCCATCCCCACGGTGTCTCAGCCAGCAGCACAGCCCTGCTTGGCAGGGGCACAGGGAGGCTTTGGGGTCTGGCAGCCCTTGGCCTTGGCTCTGACTGGCCCCAGCCCTGGGCTGCAGTGGGGAACAGCCATGGAGAAACCAGAAGTCCTGCTGTCAAACACCAGGGAAACTCTCTCTAGGATCCAGGGCTGAGAGCTGAAAGGTGTTGCATAGCCATGTCCCCGGCCTGGTGGCATCAGGGACACCAAGGAGGCTGTTTGCAGACCCACCCACCTCACAGACAGTGCCTGGACACAACACAGTCAAGAGGTGGCATGGATGGATGGTGTGGGGAGAACAGGGATGCTCTGAGCCACATGGAGCAGGAGGGAAGAGCCTGGATGCCTCTGGTTGGTGACAACCCAAATCTGCACCTGGCTGAGGTGTGATTTAAGCTGCAAAAGCCCCTTCCCAGTGTCATGGGGGCCGAGGGGACAGTCTTGACACCATCCTGTCCTAGGCAGCTGCTCCAGCCTGTCTCTCCCTGTCTCTGGCACAGGGATGTTGTCTTCCCAGGAGACAAAATCCTCCTCCTTCCCATCTGGGTCAGACTTTTCCAAGTGAGAAACATCAGCAAAGGAGACATGGCAAGCATAGCACTGGCCAAGGGGCAAGTACAGTGGGATTTCTGGGATAGACAGCCCCCCCATGCTCCTAGAGCCATCAGGAAGCACGGGATGCTCCAGCAGGATGGTGGCACTGGCTCACCCAGGAGTCATCCTCCCAACACACGTCCGAGCAGCTGGGACTGAACCGAGCCATCGAAGCATCTCCAAAATGTGCTTATATATTATATAGACATTTAAATTAGGTACCTGTGCAAATCAGCAGGTCATTAATCACCCACTCGTTTAATTGGTTTTCCTGCCAAATTGGTTACAGATAAATAATTAAAGCTAAAAAGTGGGTTTGGATGCATTCCTCTGGAAAGTCGGGCTGGCAGCTGGGAAGGAAATCTTTTAACTCCTCGGCTGGCACGGTCCATCTCCAGCAGGCTGGGATTGGGGAGGGAGGGAACACCCAGCTGAGGGGCAAGGTGGTGCTCCCAGGGTCTCTGCCCACGCTGGGCTTGCTGTTGTCCCACGGAGAGGCTTTTCCAGGGAAAAGGTGCCTGCCCAGGGTGCACTTCTGGCGCGAGGAGCCGCAGGCCAGGCGGGCGTCCCGCTCCTGCCCGCCGTGAGTGTGGGTTTTTCAGTGCACTTGGCTGCTAATCATGCATAATAATCGCATTTGCAGAACACAAATGTCACTTGGCTGAGTGCTTTAATTTACTGCCCCGTAAACACACCCTGGGGATGCCCGGGCCCATAAAACATTGACAAGGGCCCTCGTTGCCCGGACATTGTCCCCCACAGAGCCCTTTGTCAGATGGCACATCCACGGGATGCCTGCTCCCGGCTGGCTGAGGGTGGGCACTGCCGCCGTGCAGCTCCTGGGGTGGGGGGGACAGAGAGGGATCATCCTTCGTCCCTGTGCCCACCCCGTGCAGCCCTTGGGCTCCCACACCTTGTCAAGGCAGGGGCAGGAGGGGCTGAGTGAGGTGTGCTGAGCCCCCAGGTCTCAGGAGCGGGGGGTCTGCCACACATCTCTGCCCAGCCCTGCTGAGGGATATGCACCCATCCCATGCCACTCCAACTCATCTCATCCCATCCCATGCCATCCCACTTCAGTTCATCCCATCCCACTGAATTC